AACAAAATACAACTTTTATGTGACCTGAATGACTAACGGTAATTTGTTTTCAGAGAAAATGTTGAAGCAGTGAAATTTAAAGTAACTCCTTTTTCCCACCTGAGTGCTCTGTCTTGTCTTCTTTTTTATGAAGCAGAATATTAGAAATAGAACTAACTTGAGACTCTTTGCAAACTGATAGACTTATGTGAAGTTCCATAATTTTCATTCTGTAATTCTCCTACATCCTATCCTTAGAACTGCTTTGTAACATTGCTACTTGCCTTTTCTTACTCCATGAATCCATTCCTTATTCATTCATGCCTTTATTCGGGAGGCTTTTTAATGATCTCAGAAGTTATATTTGGATCCTCACCAGATAATCTAGAACTAAAATTCAATTAATATTTGGGGTTAATTTGTTTCCATTAAGTGCTAAATTTCTGTTTTGACTTAAACCTAACAGAGGTAGAAAAAGTGTCATAGTAGTCAGCAGAATATGAATACGCCAACATCATCACCATCCTCATGGCCGTCATCTATAGGTATGTGCGTGTATTAGGCTCTGTGCTCAGTGCTTTACATGCACTACTAACCTACCTAAAAGGTAGGTATTTTTACTGTCTCCATCTGACAGAGAAGGTAAATGAGGTGCAGAGAGGTGAAGTCTCATGCCCATGCTCACACAGCAGGTAGGTAGTGGTATCAGGGGCAGAACCCTGATCTGGCCGACTGGAGTGCACCTGCTGCATAAAAGAGGATGATGGGAGGGCAGGGGAGCGGGTACAGGTGCCAGGCTTACCCAGTCAGGGAGCTGAGCTACTCCCGGGCTCTGCCGAGACCTCTGCCGCACTGCCTCTTCCTGGGCTTCGTTTGCTTCATGCATAAAGGGAGAAAGTTTGAATTCTAACTCTAAGGCTCACTAATGTTATGTTTCTCACAAATGTTTTGTAAATGTCTCATAATAAAACCTTTTCTAATGTGGGCATTAGTGTGGCTAATTTGTAATAAGTCTCAAAAAGCTCTCAAATATTCATCCCAACTTGACCGACAGGAGCTTGAGATATGCTGACAGTAGCTTACTAATTAAGAGATGAGCATCAGAATCACATCTGGTTTAAATTGTGGCTCTATCGACAACCAGTGGTATTAGGCAAGTGTCTTAATCTTTCTGAGGCTTGATTCCATTCTGTTTAAATGGGAATATCAGTGTGCCTGCCTCTTAGGATTGCTGTGGGGAATGAGTCAGATACTCCACTTAGCTTAGTGCAGGGCCTGGCAGTTGGTAGACTGTAAGTGAGCTGTTAGTGGAGAGGCAATATAGTGGAAGCTTGGAGGACAGACTGAAGAGTTAGAAGCCTGGGTTCAAACCCTGGCTCATTCATTAGCTGTATCAACACAGTCAAGTGATGCAGAGCCCCAATCTCCTCCTCTGTGAGATGAAGATAATAGTCTCTGTCTCATAGATAGGGTAATTACGGGGATGAAAAGTCATTATCACACGCGCAATACTTAGAAAGGTGCATGGCACATAGCAAGTGCTCAGTAAACAACAGCTTGTAAGATGATGGTGATTCTGACAGACTAAATAGATGAATTAGCACCCAGTATCTGAATTGGAACACACACAACCTACCTTTATTCCCCCTCTGTAAACCTCTTTCTCCCTCCTCACAAAAAAAGCCTCTAAAGTGGTAAAAATTGCTTATTTAATGTTAATTCTTAAAAGATAAAGTTCTTCAGCGTTGTTCTTTCTAAAGATGCTTTTTCTGGTATCTCTCATAGAAGTAAAATTAATAAGGCTGCTCAAAACTAAGCCAGATGCCAAAAAAAGGGGGAAAAAGCACATGTTGTATGATTCCACGTATATAACGTTCAAAAGTACACAAAAATAATATGTAGAAGTAATGATAGTGGTTCATCCTGGAGAGTGAAGGGGCTCTAGTGACTGGATGGGGGAGCATCAGGGGTACTGGTAAGGTTCTGTTTCTTGATCTGGGGGCTGATTACATGAGTATGTAGACTTTGTGGAAAAGTCAAGTTATATAAACTCTTGGGATTTATACACTTTGTACATTTTCAATTAAAAGTTTGCTAGGGCTCCCCTGGTGGCGCAGTGGTTGGGAGTCCGCCTGCCGATGCAGGGAACGTGGGTTTGTGCCCCGGTCTGGGAGGATCCCACATGCTGCGGAGCGGCTGGACCCGTGAGCCATGGCCATTGGGCCTGCGCGTCCGTAGCCTGTGCTCCACAACGGGAGAGGCCACAGCAGTGAGAGGCCTGCGTACCACAAAAAAAAAAACAAAAAAAAAAACAGTTTGCTAAAATAAGAACGCTACTCAGACATCATTTGTGTTTGCCTGCAGTTCTTTCCCAGTAACAGAGGGTCTGCTTTTTCTGAGTGGGTCTAGTTTTAAGAAGCCCAGTAAGTAGCCTGACTGCAGTTAAGATAGAGATCCAGGGTACAAGGCGAGGATTTTCCCAGGTGAGCATAATCCCTGCTGTTCCCCAAGGTGCAAAGCAGTGCCTTGGAAAGATAACCAAGAGTGTGGCTTCTTTCCCCACATGTTTTCCAAAGTCAAAAAGCCAAACTTGAATTCATCAGATTCTGATCTGTATATTCATTCAAAGGAAAAAGTCCACAAAAGGATCTGTGCAGAGAGCCCAAGTTCTGCAGGCAAGAATGGGTTTGAATCCCAGCTTTACCACTTGCCTGTAGTGTCAGCTTAGACAAGTCCCTTCTCCTTTCAGTCTTAGTGTTTGTCATTTATGAAGTGGGAATTATAATGTTTACCTTTCAAGATTGTGTATGAAAGTGGCCCATAGTAGCTTATCTTAGTGCTGTTATCATTGTCATTATTATGTTTATTTTGCCTATTGCTTTCTCTCCTAGTCCACCATCTTTTTTTTTTTTAACATCTTTATTGGAGTATAATTGCTTTACAGTGGTGTGTTAGTTTCTGCTTTATAACAAAGTGAATCAGCTATACATATATATATATCCCCATATCTCTTCCCTCTTGCGTCTCCATCCTTCCCAACCTCCCTATCCCACCCCTCTAGGTGGTCACAAAGCACCGAGCTGATCTCCCCTGTGCTATGCAGCTCCTTCCCACTAGCTATCGGTTTTACATTTGGTAGTGTATATATGTCCATGCCACTCTCTCACTTTGTCCCAGCTTACCCTTCCCCCTTCCCCTCAGGTCCATCCTCTTGTAGGTCTGAGTCTTTATTCCCGTCCTGCCCCTAGGTTCTTCATGACCTTTTTTTAGATTCCATATATATGTGTTAGCATACGGTATGTGTTTTTCTCTTTCTGACTTACTTCACTCTGTATGGCAGACTCTGGGTCCATCCACCTCACTACAAATAACTCAGTTTCGTTTCTTTTTATGGCTGAGTAATATTCCATTGTATATATGTGCCGCATCTTCTTTATTCATCTGTCGATGGACACTTAGGTTGCTTCCATGTCCTGGCTATTGTGGATAGAGCTGCAGCGAACATTGTGGTACATGACTCTTTTTGAATTATGGTTTTCTCAGGGTATAAAAATATGGAACGCTTCACGAATTTGCATGTCATCCTTGCACAGGGGCCATGCTAATCTCTGTATCGTTCCAGTTTTAGTATATGTGCTGCCAAAGCAAGCACTAGTCCACCATCTTGAAAGTATTTAACCAGATCCCTCAAATTAAGTAGTGGCTCTATTGGCAGAGTCACGGTGGAGACTTGTCAGGTAGAAGTAGATGATGATAGTAATGCAAGTGTCTCTGTCTAGAGCATTGGTTCTCAGAAGTGAGGACTGGAAGCTGGTCCCAGTCACCTCTGAATGCTTCCAGTGGCACACATAGCACCCTCTGGTGGAAAGTCATAACTGAGGAACTTCTAAAATATTAGATGTTGTCAGAACATTTGTTTCTGTTATAAATCTAAATTCAGTCTTTACTGTTATAAGCAAAAACTTCATTAATTAATCCTAAGTAATTTTGTGACAGTCGGATAAACTGTGCCCACAAGTACTATATCATGCAGTGAATAAATAAGTTCATTTCCTATTCCCGTGTAGATGAGCTCAGGTATGTAGTAAGACCCTTAATTCCTTCTTGGAAAGCAGATGATAACACCGTTTTCATTCTCACAACAACAACAAAAGGCTGCACACAGTAGTCCAGAAATTCTTTCTTTCTGAAACAGCATCTACTGCGAAGTTCAGGGCAGCAAACATTCTTTATGAGCATTCAAGTGAGCAGCTGGATTCTGAGATCAGTAAATAATTTATTTTATTTCAACTGACTAGCCGGGTGCTTCAGATCTTTCCTGACACTGATGGATGGTCTCCTCTGCTCGTCCATCCTGTGTCAGTCAGAGCAGAGATTCCACTTGCCCCCTGTGGCAAGTTCTTCTAAGTGGTAAGTGTCTGTGTGCGGCATTTACCCAGCAGCACTGCTGATTCCACAAAAAACCACCCATCCACTCTGAGTTAGTGGTACATGAGAGCGCAGAGCCGAGGCGCGGCATTCCCAAGCTCTGCGGTGCCATTGTAGCAGCCTGCCTCCTGACTGGGGAGTAGGGGCCAGTGTCCCAGTTTTACTGTCTGCTGTTTGTTTCTGGGAAAGTCAGGGGATAAGAGACTCAGACTTTGATTTGCAAGACCCAAAATTGCATCAATTTTCCACCAGACTTTTTCTTTTTTTAGTCTCAGCATTTCTTTTAATAACAAATTGTTAACTGAATAATCCAGTGATCAGCAATGTGTTTTAAGTATACTGTGATACAGCCATATACAGAAATGTTATAAAACCTTTGAGAGGAAGCCCTCTCAAAATTTCTATTGAAATGGGAATGTATCAATATGTTAAAATAGAAAAAATACGGTGCTTTGTGACCACCTAGAGGGGTGGGATAGGGAGGGTGGGAGGGAGGGAGATGCAAGAGGGAAGAGATTTGGGAACATATGTATAT